GAAAATCAAATTGAATAACAAAATAATAGAAGCACGCGAAAAGTATCTAACATCATTTAAAATAAAATTAGAGAAAAAAAAGTATACAAAACTCAAAGTGACATCTTTTTGTTTAAATTTAGTAAACACACATCGATATCTCTAGTTGTCGTTAACTTCATATAATGTTAAATGAATCTCTTTCACTTACAAATCTTATGTAAAACCATTTTTAAATGCTTTCCTGTAAATATACGTTTATTCGCAGTGAATTAAGCATAAATAAAGCTCTGCACACACTGAAAAAAAGTTTGTCCCTATAAATAAACGTTTATTTGTTAGAAAAAAAGAAAAAATATTTCTTTGAATCAGATAATATCAATCCAAATCAAATAAGTAATTTATTTACAACGTAATATCGAATGATTGTAGCTAAACATTTATTTTATTAAAGTGCACATTTTTTGTTCGTATTCAAATGAATAAAATAAACATTTATTTGAATTGACAAAGTTTTCTTTCAGTGCATCAACGCAATGTTTTTTTCAGACTCAATACATTATTGACTATGGATTATTCAATTTTTTCACGACTTGGCATTATTACGAGTAAAAATAACGAGTGCCTTCATAAGTGTATGATTAATAGTTTATTGTGAATGACGTAACTTTTACGCTCAGTGCAGGGATTAATTAATTAAATAATTTGCATTTTTTGCAAATGTCAATGAAAATGAGTCCTTAAAAGTTCCATAAAAGTTCTATCTACGTTCACTGGAGATCATTACAGTAAATATATGTTTTAACACATGAATAAACATTTTTATTATACATATTATGTTCTGCACCAATCTAATATTTACTTAAGTTAGTAATGTAGAAATATATACATGGAATAACCTTTTTTCAGTGTATCAAATCTCTTTTACTAAAACCATTTTGATATATCCATGTAAAAATCACTCTCGTTATACTACGAAATGGTGCAACTTCATTAACTTATAATTTCATGTTTAAGTGCTTCATGATTAGTATTATTAAGATTAGAAACACATTACTGTCGAAAAAGTTTCCAATGCATTCTATCGTTATCCAAAGTAAAATGTATGATGAAAGAGATAACAAGTATAGATACACCCAATTCTGAGCCCATTTTTCGTAGAGTCGCATGAATCTATTTTTCACTACTTATCTAGTAATTAGTTACATACTAAACAGCAAATGTCCATTGACTAAAAAGCTTGTATGAATGACGTTCATACAGGCCTGTGAATGGTTATTCAATCAGTATGCGGCACAGCAGAGCGCTTTTGAATATTTGATGATGTTGAAGCATATCTTTTTCGTTTATTTTATTTTTCACTAAAATTAATTCATTTTATATTTATATTTTTAAAGTTACAAAACTTTTTTTTTTTAAATCCATAATTTTTCTATTATACATACTTTTAATGCAGTAGTTTTTTAACAACCCATGCTTAATGTACAATAAAAGTTTATCAAAAAATAAGTTAAATTGACGATGTTCTTTATGAGGTTAGATAAAAAGAAAATCCTTGACAGGTAATGACAGTAAGTATTAGTAAGTAAATAGTTACACTCAAACACGAAGGTTAGAGAATAAGTATTCTGTACCTATAAAATAAATGTGTTTTTGTGACATAAAAAGCTAAAAACTGAGTTATTGATGCTACACAGGACGATTTTTTATGCAAGCATAATAATAATAAATACGCATGAGGTATTATGTATATGAATTCGTAAATGCCATACTAATTATTTGTAATACTATGAATCTAACGACAGCAGGATATTGCAATATTAAAGTATGACTCCAACGGCAATGCTGTCCAATGGTCTTTATTTATTTATTAAAGCAACAATTCGGCCACTTTAGAATGAGGCCCTTTTCAAGCAAATTATATCACAGTATACAGACTTTACGTGATCGCTTACATTTGTCGAGATCTTAGTTAATTGACTGTAGCCTGTAAGCGACTCGAACATACTCAGTACATACTCAGTATGTTCGAGTCGCTTACAGGCTACAGTCAATTAACTAAGATCTCGACAAATTTAAGCGATCACGGAAAGTCTGTATACTGTGATATAATTTGCTTGAAAAGGGCCTCATTCTAAAGTGGCCGAAACGTTGCTTTAATAAATAAATAAAGAACATTGGACAGCATTGCTGTTGGAGTCATACTTTAATATTGCCATACTAATTACTGACTTAATAATGATTCAAAACTTATTCGACAAATTTTCTCTTTTTCGATCCCCAATTTAATATTCACCATAAAATAATGTTCCAGCATTCTTGATATTTCAGAAATTATATAACAAAAGTAAGGAATTTTTCAAAAGAATACATGTCACATACATACAAAAACAAAATATACTTCATGACATGGGTGCTAAGTATTTCTGTTAGTTTCTATGCATAAGTAATCGTTTGCAAACAGAAACTAAAATGAAGTCTATTAAAAGTGATTAAGTAGAAAAGTAAGACCATAAAAATTTATAAAACTACGATCATTGTTGTTGAAAAATCAACAACTTCAATTATCTATTTATTTTCGAAGAATAGTAATGTTTAGATGCATGAATACCACAAATTTCAAAATAAGCAAACACTTTTCATGTCATGAAATGTTCACTCGTTAAGATGAATTTTTTACACAAATTTAAAATACCTATGATATGATGATGATCGTGGTAATATTTTTGATCAATTCTCCGATTAAATTCTCATTTTAAAGTTCTCAAATCCTTTATAAAGTTACTACTACTGATAAAGTGTATATTTCATAATTGTATTCATTATCTTTTTTCTTACCTCTGTTTTGAAATAAAAACTTCCTAAGGAGTTAGATAAGTTACGTAAGAAATCAAACAAATTTTGATAATGTTGCTAGTGTACATACAGCACGATATTGATGCCCATTTTTATCCTGAGATACGTGAGCATGTCCAGAAAAACTATCCCATTTTTTTCGTGATCTTATGAGTCTGAAGCGAGGGACCGAATGTACCACGAAAGAAATATCCGTGAACTCGAGTTTCAGTAGAGATGACACTGTTTTTTCGCGATTCACATGCAATTGTCATATCTCTATGTATGAGAGACGATTTTTTTTTTTCCATGGATACTATATACACTTGATCATCTGACTCATTTAGATTAAAATGTTTTCACTACACCCCTGCCAAAAGACGATGTTTTTCTGCCTTGATTTCAGGGACGTAAGCGCAATATTCCTCCTAGGTAAAAACTTGCATTCTCTGCTCATAGAAAAGTATTTTGCCACAATCTGCGTACAATTCAGGAACATCATTAGTAAGCACTTCAAATTTCGAATAAAAAATGAAAAAAAAAAAAAAAAAGTAATTTCTCACGAAAATTTCAAACACAAAAAATGACAAAAGTAAAGTTGGCTCATGATCACAAATTGAAACCAAATGTTTTCAACAATAATTGTCGGACTCACGAGGTTTTGTAAAAATCTTATCAGGAGATTACGGGCACTACCTTAACTAGTGGACGATTTCATCATCGTTATATATGTATATAATTATTTGCCACCACTATTTCTGCACTATACTTACGTATGTTTGTGCGTGTAATGTATAAAATCTTTCTTTCCTTCTCCCCACTCTTTAAAAAACACGTCGCAACAAGTCGCCTCTTCTCTGCGATTCTCTCTGTCTCTGAAATGTGCTCTTGCTAGTCAGCAGTGCACTACTGCACTGTATACTGTGTTATACACATACACACGTACTCCCACCACGCCGCACAAGGTAACGTACCTTTACATGCTGCATGCTACAGCTCCCAGGGCACACAGGTCGTTTATAAACAAGTCCCTCAGCTATGCGCTCTTTCTCCCTTTCTTTTTTCTCTTTCTTCCTCACTCCTATTGAAATCTACCTGCAGCCCGCCTCTGAGTTTTAAGAAAAGGAATCTTGGATTTTCGACCCTTGGTGCCTGCCTACAAAAAAACGCAAGGGGGGGGAGTAAATGACAGGTCTACGTTAATACTGTACATGTACGGACCCATTGTCAAAAAAAATTCATTGATCAAATCTAGAATGGTCTTGCTTTATGTAATAGCAGACTTTAAAAGTGAGTTGATTTGAGAATGTTTTTTAAAAATGTTTCTGCACCATTAAGTGTAAATCTTTTTTCGCGGATAGGAAGAAGGCCAAAAGTAAAAGCTAGAATAAGGAAGGATACGATGATGCTGCTTTTAAAATAACACATTACATACATGCGGGAGGGAGTTGTGTTTCCGTTAACTACATACATACATCCACACTTCTACTTTTGACAAAGAGCAGATAATGTCTATATATATATACACTACTTCATGCAGCGACTTTTACTCAATGAACGCTGCGCCGTCGTCTACATATTTAGCTCGTGTTCTGCTATGCTCGTCCGTTTTTTTAATGAACGTCTGATCAGTAGGACTCGTAAGTATAGATAACGTAGTAAATGTGCATGTATTATCATTGTGACGTAAGTATATTTAGCGTAATAGAATGAAAAGGAATGCATGACACAAGCTAGGCATGTGTTGAGAATTTGAGTTTTTCAGTGCTAGCCTGCACCGAAGACGAAAGTATTAAATTACATCGTGATGCTGTATCACTGCTCAGGCTTAGACAATAACTCGATTTTTCGGAAAAAATACTCATGTACAACTATATGTAATTAACATGGACCACAAGCAAAAAATAACAATTGGATTCCTTCTTTCTTGATTACGCTTTTACAAGCCTTTTTTCATACACTTACTACCGCCCCTTCCTTTTTCTCACGGTTGCTAAAGGTAAAAACCACTGTAAAAACACAACTTCACCACGATTATATAGAAAACCACTGAGATGCGGTTACATTTCAAGAAAACGATAAAACTGCTCACGTTATATCTACTGGAAAAAAACTACAGGCACTTACACTCGCGAATATTTAAATAATAGATATCGTAAAAAAATGAAGTAACGAGAGTAGCACACCTTTTAGCCACTCGCACACTTGATTTGTGTTCCACTCGAGGACGTTAACATAAAACGCCATCACTTGCTATGACCCATTCACCCGGCTGAGGATAACCTTCTTCTCCTCGCTCTTTCGCGGTACTGAGCCAATGGATGCGATACAGATAGAATACCTACTGGCCACTGGCACTAGCTGTTATTAGCTTGGGGCTTGAATCACTTTACGGCCAGTGTAGCAAGCTGACTATTCAACTGGTACAGTACACACTACACAGTGTTTAGGTCGCATCGTCGCATGTTCGCAATAGTGAGGTGTGTTACACAGAGAGAGTAAGGTAGCTTCGTGGCAAGCCGTAGCACAAACTGTGGTGGCACTGGTAGCCCATCACGAGCACACACTGATGAAACTATACTCAGAATACAATACAAAGAAGTGACGCATGCGCAGAAAGCACATGTTCTCAGCTCAAGCTGCACCATAGACATATGAGAAATATAGACTGCTCGTTTTTATGTACGGCGCTGAAGCACAAGTAAAAAGAGACGCAACATCGAACGTGTGTATCTTTCTCTTGCACGAATCCCACCTTTGGCAATGTGCGAGAGAGACAGGTGTCCACGTTCGATGTTGTCTCTTCTTCTACTGTGCTTCAGCGCCGTACGTAAGAACGAGCAGTCTATTTTTTATGTCTATGAGCTGCACAAGCACGGATGGCAGCACATCACGTTCAGCAAAAGTATATCGAATCTTTGGCGCTTAATTCAAATGGTTCAAATTTATATCAATCGTATGGTACCATTGATTTGCCGAAAATGTTATGAAAAAATTTAGCATGGACAAAACATATTATAGCAACTACATATGGACTGTGTATCATAGAAATAAGCGTCAAATCAATTTGAGTTGATAAATCCGTCTCAATTAATACAGTAGTGCAATTTACTGCACCGACTGCAACCGTGCTACGTTTTACATTTTTCCATAGAGATTGTGTGTATGTGACCAGACAAAAGAACAAGTCAAAAGTATGTTTGGTCAAAAAAGTGCAAACCAGGATTGTGTATTAAAATTAGCTGCCTTCCAGTATTTTCTCCTAATGTGCCCAAATTCCAACAGCTGAATCGTTCAATAATTTTGTATCAACCTTAATTTTTTTTAGTTTTCATCCATTTTATGATTATATATCTGTGAAATAAGTCGTAGGTATGACAAACACCCACAAAATGAGCCCAGATACATAATAATTACATATTTTGTTTTTTGCAAATTCCAAAAAAACCCCTAAAAATAACTATTTTTTCAACTTTTTAAATAAACAATGATGCAGGTAAGGGTACCAAACTTTAATAGACGATATGTTCTGGTCAGTTGTACCACTGATTTTTTACTGAACATAAATACTAAATTTTCTTACTTTTAAGGTTAAAAACGAAATGTAATTCTTAGGCGGCTTTAATTTTGTTTTGCAAGAATGTATCATTGATTGTGTTCAACTTTAATAAAGTTTAGTAACTATCTCAGTCCATAAATATATTCTTTAGACACAGGTTTCTTCGGCTGTAATATATAAGTAACCTTTTTTTGGATTAGGTTACGTCATGTTATAAAAAGTGTAATAGTGCGCTAACGATTAGGGTTTGCTTAGTAATTTAAAAAAAGAAAATCAAAAAGTTATCAAGATTCGCGCTGTCAGCAGATTTTTAAACATATATAGTCACTGTTGCCCCTCTGTGCGCCCTGCCAATAGGCCTTTAATATTGATGTTGCTTATGTAACATTGTATGTTAGCGTATCATTATACAGTGTTTTTTAACGGAATGAAAAGCGTTAGATTACAGTTTCGAACACTTCCCATTGTCTGTGTTGCAAAATATTGCAATAGTACATTACAAAGTTTAAAAAAAAAAAAATAATAATAATTTGGCTTCCAGCAATCGTACATAAATAAGTATTTTTTTTGTATTAAGATATATATCGTGACTTTCTAATAGAGGAACTTCTAAAGTGATTCAATTCAAATTTTTCCTGAGACCTCCTTTTGTAACTAAGTACTTTTTTGCCACTCATTTTACTAGGCCTCTGTTGTGAAAAAAGTACAACTCTTAAAGAGGCTTCCTCGGGCAGAAATGCCAACCCACGTCGCCCAGTAAATAAGCCGGAAAATACTGTAAAATGTGGAAAACGTAGGAAACAGCACCGATTTAAAAAAATTTTATTTCTACCTGTTCCTTAGACCTTCAGGAACATTCATCGGCACTGACCCCGGTCCCGCGTGCAAAATCAAGGGAGGGGTGGATGTCGGAACCCTCTCAAACCATCCCAAATGTAAAAAAATTTATAAAAGCAATATTTTTCCTCAGAAATGCCTTCTAGTAGGTATTTTTGGTAGCTGATCATGAATCTGAGGTCCAAATTTACAAATAGAGCACTTGACAGCGGGATTTGGGCCATTTTTGGCCTAAAAAGCCATTTTTTCTGCTAAAACATGTCACATCGATGTTTTGGTGCGAAAATGCCTTCTAGTAGGTATTTTTGATCGCTGATCACGAATCTGAGGTCTTCTTTTGAAAAATAACTTACGGCACTATGTTAGAAATATTTAAATTATATTGTTTTTAAAGAATTAGCTCAACGATATACGTATGTTTGTGTGATCTTGGTAACATCTACCAGATACTGCGTTTAAAAATTCCCTCTATATTTTTACGTTTTTATACGGCCAGATACACATTGTTTTTGAAAAAAAATACTCAAAATCTTAAATCAACGAAGAAAAATACGGTCAATATTGGCATGTTACCTCCAGCCCTGAATAGTTTCAGGGAACATCTGAAGCGGGTGTACTATCAGGTACAATCGTGGATCGGTTTCTTAATGCCTAATCATGAAAATACAATCCCAACCCTAAATCCCACAGATTGGGGTTGGAAGTTGATTGACGGCGTCTTGTACCCCGTAAGGATGACGGAACCGTCAGCGCCAAGAAAAATTTTGGATGCTATTTAGTGTGGCTGCCGCAGTGGACGCGGAGCAGCTTGCGGTTGTCGCAAGAATGGCGTATTTTGCTCGCAAGCGTGTAAAGTTTGTGGTGGACAAAGCTGCGAAAACCGCGAGACATCTGACACAAATCATGATGAAATAATTTGTTCCGATCGAATACCAGATGAGGAGGAGATCAGCGACGCTGGAGAAAAAGCAACAGACAGTACAGTGCCAGTTTTGGAAAATGATTCAGATTATGAGTGAATTGCCCTATTGTATTTTACATGTAATTAATTTCTAATTTTTTTTAATAAAGATTGTCTCATTCTTATATCACTGTCTGAATACGTGCAGCATTGCAATTATTTATTGTTATAATTTGCTTCCTTTCCCCACCTATCAAAGTATTTTAAAACATCACTAAATACAGTAAGTTTGAAACAAAGTTAATGATGTACTACTTTAATGCTTGAACAATGTTTGTCTAGTAGCACTCTATTCTACAAATCCCGCTGTACGGTGCACTATTTGTAAATTTGGACCTCAGATTCGTTATTAGCGACCAAAAATACCTACTTGAAGGCATTTTCGCACCAAAACATCGATTTGACATGTTTTAGCGGAAAAAATGGTTTTTTAGGCCAAAAATGGCCCAAATCCCGCTGTCAAGTGCTCTATTTGTAAATTTGGACCTCAGATTCATGATCAGCTACCAAAAATACCTACCAGAAGGCATTTCTGAGGAAAAATATTGCTTTTATAAATTTTTTTACATTTGGGATGGTTTGGGGGGGTTCCGACATCCACCCCTCCCTTGATTTTGCACGCGGGACCGGGGTCAGTGCCGATGAATGTTCCTGAAGGTCTAAGGAACAGGTAAAAACAAAATTTTTTTAAATCGGTGCTGTTTCCTAGGTTTTCCACATTTTCCGGCTTATTTACTCCACTATCACAAATTTTCTCGTAAACTCAAGTATAGTTGGCATCACTGATGCAAGAGAACATAGGCTAACCTGTGGAAATACAATGATTTGATCAATTTTCATTAGAATATCTAGAAATTTTCCAGGGTATCACTTACTTTGCTAGGCGTCATTCGAAAGAGGAGATTTTTTTCTACAAAACGTGTGCGCTCTTATTACGGGAACTATTGATTTATTCGAGTTTTTAAGTTGTTTACATCGCGTGTGCACGCTTCACCATAAGAATACGTGTTAGAATGCGGTATATTGAACTAATAATATCTCGAAATTTCGCAGGGTAAGCGATACAAATAATTATATCATTGGATTCAGTAGATTTTTAACTGTTAAATTCATCTGGTCTTGGTTCTGGAACTGTCACGAGGGAGTCTCCTGAAGGAAGAAAAGAAGCCCATGTGGGATACACTACCTACGCCTTCTCAAAACTGTAAAAAGTTTATTCTTAATAAACATTAGTTGCAAAGACTTTGCTAGTAAATCTTGTCAAAAACACCCGTGGTACTGTGGATCAGAACCTACGATTTATTAATGTTTGGTACGCCTACGTTCATGATTTTTTATTTGAAAAGTTAAGAAAAAGAACAGATTTTAAGTGGTTTTCCAGAATTTGCAAAAAATAAATATTTAATTTCTACTCATCTGGGTTAATTTTGAAGTTGTTTGTAATTACTACAACTTTTTCCACAGTCAAGTAATTATATCATGCATGGAGAGTTTTATAGAAGTAAAAAACGTGTTTTTCAGTATTTTAGTGGTTAAAAAAGATTCATGAATAATTTAGTTGTTGGAATTTGGGTATACTACCTGAAAATTTTACAATGAATGATAATGATTGTATAAAACTCGTTTTTGCATTTTTTGATTAAAAAACGACCCTTTTTCTGGTCTATTGCAATGAGTAAAACTAATTAAAAATTAATTTAGATGAAAAAATTGATAAATCAAAGAAGATTTATTCGTTTTTACAAGAAAAAATAAGTAGGGGTCATGATTTAATTCCAGTGGACTAAAACTTCAGCTGGGCAAAATTATTTATTCCTCTATTTTTTTCGATGTAAATTAAAGTAGCTTTATTTTATCGTTATCTACAGTATCTTGTACGATAAAAATGAAGAAGGTTTTTCTGATATGTTACTTATTTATTTTTTTTAAAAATTGTTTTAGTATTAACATCACTTGCTTCTATTACTGCGGATGGTAATAAAATTAGCACCAGTTACTTTAACCCAGTTACAGTATGGGTATCTCCCATAAAGTTTCCATGTTAAAGCTTAGACTCACTTAGTGCACGCACCAATAGAGAACTTGCATGTTCTCCAATTTAATTTTTTGTCAATAGCTGAAAATGCCCCGGGTAAACTTGCCAGACAGTTTTTTTTAAGCTTTGAAATATATACAATAATTTATTGAAATTCCTTACCTAATTTAAATCGATATAATGTGATCATGACGTAGGCTGAATGATGTGGGTTTGATCGTTATATGTAATGATGTTTGAAATTGAATTAACTACTATAGAAAGAAGACACTAGCTGTGTTGTCTGCTTGATTTGATACAAGGTATAAATAAGGTTACACGTACAACTGTCAACTAACAAATGATTGGAAAATGAACGAAAAAGAAGTTAATTCTAATTCTAACGGGTACAAGTACTATTTTGTGCCAGGATGTACAAATACTACAGCGAAGAATCAATCAAAAATTTTTTTAGTCGTCCCAACCAATCCAGAAAAAAATTGAGAAAAATTAGTCACTGTTGTGAGGATCACTTTGATGTATCTATCCAAGTACAAGTATTTTGAAAGAATTTTTTGATACTCTGATTATCTATAGTTACAGTAAAGTTTAACCTTTTTTAAAAAACTAGTTGGAATATGATTCATAATACTTCATGTTATGGTAAATTTGTATAAACTTGAATTAATCCAAAATGCTAAAATACGACAAAACCTCTGAGTTTTTACGCAACGTATTTTCATGCTTCCATAGCACTCGTTGGAATAAATAAAATTTAACATCATATCTAAATCTACTTTTGGTAGATTTTCGGATGTTCCTTTAATAAATCCTGGATTTATGGTAACTTTAGTACTGACACGCCACATGTCAACAATTCTCTCAGTAAACAAAAACAGTCTGCTCATGGTGTAATAAATACATAAGGTGGGCTCTTCAGTCACCAAACCGATCAGCCAATCAGGAGGCTTGGAACAAGTGACCTTCCATATTGGATTTTCCACCAATGAGTGTTGAGAGCGCGTTGTTCAACTACTGCTACACGTAAACAAGAGTATAGGGTGAAAAATTTTATCGATAATTAATATAATTAAAATTTGTTAGGTGCACTATTTTATATATAAATATAATTCTATATATCATCTGATTTTTTGTGAGGTATACAATGAACACAGTATATTAAATATTTCAACAAACAAATTTTACAACTTTTTTCTTTTTATGTGAATTTGTATTTATTTTTAGCAATAAAGTGTAAGTTGTTGAACAACGCTCTCTAAACGCTCATTGGTGGAAAATCCAATATGGAAGGTCGCTTGTTCCAAGCCTCCTGATTGACTGATCGGTTCGGTGGCTGAAGAGTCCACCTTATGTATTTATTACACCATGGTCTAAAGTTACGTGGGTACGACGTAAATGACAGTAAGTGACATGTCCTCTTGCTTTATTTTATTAATTACCATTCGTATGATTAAGTTAGTTCACTAAAAAAATTGATTTTTATCTAGACTTGATTTTTTTTAGTACGTTATCATTAAGAATTCAACGGATATTGTAATATTTTTTTTTAGGTAGCAAGCGTTACTTATTTTCAAGATATTCAAGTTCAAAGTTGACACTTTTTACACACGAGTATACGGGAAACACACTTCAGAACTGATATTTCATCTAACTATATAAAAAGTATCTCTTCTAGAAATTAAAAAAACTAGTATGTAACAGTTTAGAAAACAATAATTAAGATGTGATTTTGTTAAATACAGCAATCGGTACTAGATTTAGAGATATTTTAATCTAAATCACGTAGTTTTTTGCTTCGTTATATGAGCCACGCGAGAGAGAGGCTACAGTTGCTATAGAGCGTTATGCTGACGGATGCGTAGAACTCTGATTTTGTCATTCTGCGCAACAAGTGAACAAAAAAAAAAAAGAGCACATAGGTTATCAACTAATTCTTGTACGGTTACAAGACAGCATGATCTTTATGCCATTTCGTTGAGTGGAGTACCACTGGACCGAGTGAACTACCTTAAAGATTACATTCAACATTTTTTTCAATAAAAAAGCTGTGAATCATGACGAGTTTATCATGATAATAATTATATTTATCTTCGGTGATTCAAAATGTTTAAAAACTCAATAACGCGCAATCAACAATGTTATGAGTCCTTATGTCCTTAAGAGTCCTGAAATTTTGCACATTTCTCTCACCACGAGCTCTTAGATCGCTTTTTTTACCCCCTCCAAGGACTAGCTTACAGTGAATAGCAAAACTGGCATGTTATAAGTTACCCATGTACCTAACTATTAGATCTATTGTCTTCTAGTTTGTATAAAGCTAATAAATGGTATTTAAAAAATGTATTTAAATATTGCAAGCTAGTGGATTCGAAAATATTTGTAAACATTTAACAAGTCATACGTAGGCAGGCTGTAAACCACATGATTTCAGATTAGTATTCTATTTTAAAAAGAATCCTTTCGAATGAAGCTTCCTATTCGTGGGTTGTAAATATAAACGGTTTGTGAATCATGTGAATCATTCTTTGTCTTTACAAAATATAATTAAAGTTATAATTTCATTAAACTTTCTTTGCTTTAGAAAAAAGTAAAATGTAAAGCATAAAAAATGCTAAAAATGTTGCAACTTATTGATGAAGTATGTTACGCAGCCTTTTTTTGGAAAGATACACTCAGAGAAATTTTTTATAAATTTTATCTTTAATGCCCATAAAAATTACCGTGTGGAACGGTAAACGTGGGACTAGGTCGTGACTACGGAATTTTTACCTAACTTTAACAATTTTTACCGTTACGCCCAGTAAAAATCATC